GCTGCAAACCGTGTCTGTGATCCTGAATCAGTACTTCTTCGACTACCTCGTCACTTGTATCTGCTTTCACCTTGTAATCTCTGTCTGAATCTGGTCGGATTAGTACGGTCGCTCAGTGCAGTTTCTAGCTGCCCCGTGGCTTGCTGTTGAGGAGAATTTGAGTTATAGGGTGTATCATTTTCCAATAAGTTTGTGAGTGGCGCTACTATCTTAGTGTACTGTGACACGAACCTGTTGTAGTAGCTGACGAAGCCTAGGATTTGCTGTGACTCCTTCATGTTCATAGGAACTTTCTACGACTTGACGGCCTAGTTTTTCCGCGAGTCCACGTGTACGCCCTCAGCAGTCACCATGTGCCCAAGAAACTGCACCTTCTTCAAGGAGAAGTCGCTCTTCGACAACTTCACCTATAATATGTTTTTTCCGTAGGATCTCAAAGACTTTCCATAGATGTTCCATGTGCTCCTTCATGTTCTTGGAGTATATGAGAATGTCGTTCATGTACACTACTACGCACTCGTCTAGCAAGGGCCATGGGATGTGGTTCATCTCTGCCTGGAATGTCACTGGTGCATTGCAGAATCCGAATGGCATGACTAAGTACTCGTAGGAGCCGTATTTGGTATGAAACGCTGTATTGTGGATCACGTTGTCCGCCAGCTTCTCAGTTCCACACGTTTCTCATTGTTGTAGATGCACACCTTCCAGTTGACCAACTCAATCTCGAGGTTGAACCACATAAAAAAATCTTGGTCCTAAATAAAATCTAAACCCTTGATGTTCGTGATCGGCAACGTCGGCTTCCATCGGCAAGTTTCGTGACGGGTACTCACTCGTGATGGGCAGCTTGGTACTTTGCAATGACCGAAGGAGAGAAGGCTGACGTCTTCAAGGTCAAAGGCGTGGGAGAAAATCACTCGTACCGGTGCCACAAAAGGCATGTGTATGCAATTGGGAGTGTGGTGGGGCAATGGAGGGGTCTCAGTGCCCTGAGTGTGGAGAGGTGGTGGGCGGAACGCACCATACACTCACGGAGGGCTACGATAGAGACTCTGGTTTTTTCAACGGGGTTTAAAGCAACGGGTTTGGGAGGGAACCACTGGTACGGTATTGATTTTGCAATGCATGGCGCCCAGGAGTCAGTGTAAAGATGTTGCTTTAGGTCGAATAGACCGATTCTTCAGGATATTTTTTTTTTGTATTGATTTTCGAGCCTTGTTTTAAGGGTGAACGCCAATGTTTCAGGTGTACACCAAGCTTCAGGTTTACACTAATTCACTTCAAGCAACTTGAATCGTCATAGAAGACGATAAAAACTTTCGTAGGAAGTATTATAATGTGCGTGTATGTACAATAAAATGTGAAAGATGCAATTGTCTTTGTTTGGGTACACATATCCATCATTCTAATTGTTCACCAAAGCAGACTATTCACAAGCTTGAAGCATTTCTGTAGTTACCTTTTCAGGGATGTACACCTCTTGCAGCAACTTAGAAGCTTTCGATTGAATGAACCTCCACCTTGTCTGCACATGCACCAGCTCTATCTTCAACGCGGCCATGCGCATCGTGTACTGAAGGCGCCAGTTCAGATTTTGAGACATCTCAAACATCTGTCTTCACCACCCCTATTGCCATGTGCAGCGTGTACTATCACAGGGGGGCAGGTTGGGAGGTCAAGCGTCGTCATGCTCTCATATGCAGGCGAATGAACCAGGCATGCAGCAGCATGTCGTCGGGGCTCACAAAGGCGTGCGGTACTTGAGAGATGTCTTTAGAGTCAGTGTGCGTGTGAGATACAGTTGAGTAATGGAGGAGTCAAGCAACATGGAGCCAAGCAACAAGGGGCCAAGCAGGAAGGAGCTCAGCAATGGTTGTGTGAGTGAGATGCGCCTGTGCGGTGCTTTGGATCGCCTCCAATAGTGCCGCATTCACCTCCCTCCCTACATCCGCGCTGCCCTCGCCCACCAACCCCTCATCGCCCACTCTCCCCTCACCCACCCTTGTGCACGCCAACCCACTCTGTGTGCGATCAGCGGGCGGCTTGAGGCGGAAGCAGACGAGGGTAAAGGGGCGCGGAGCCATCAGCTGGGGGGCACAAATGGGGGAGTGGGGGAGGGGGGTGAGGGCAGCAGTAGGGTAGCATGGTGACATCCTTGCAATGGAAGGAGAGTGGCAGAGGTGTATAAGAGGGTGTGTGAGGACGTGTGAAGAGTCCAAGGTGGTGTGTGAGACGGTGGCCCAGGTAGAGCATGTTGGCAGTGATGGCATGCTGCACTCCGACTCACTTGGAACCTCTCATCGTGCCGCACGGCCTTCTCCAACCACTCAGCAAGTGCCACGTGGCGCTTGATGTATGCACGAATGTACTCCGCCCGATATGTCCACAGCACCATCCACAGCTTCAGCGACCTTCAAAAGAAAGAGGGGGAGTCGTTGGTGGCGGTTGTGGCGTTGGCATGGCATGGGCATAAGTATGAGCATGGGCGTGCTGGTGTGCAAATCGGCCGGAGTACGAGTAGGCCTAAATTACATAGATTCTTATCCTCATTGAATCGGAAACTACTGAGTTTATGTGAAGATGGCATGAAACAAACCTACTGCATGCCATGCACCATGCCAGGCAGGGGCGGGGAGAAACTTTGTTCTTAACGCACTTGAAGCAGCGGCCAATCGGGATCTCCTAGTCCTTGTAATCCACCATGTAGCTCGATTTAAATAGGTTTGAAGCGTGCGATTAAATCTGCCCGAAACTGCGCCCACGTACCTTCTTTGCATACCGAGAGACTGTAGTACACCCATTCCAGTGCTGGGCCTCGCAACACTGTTGCTGCGAGCCGAATCCTTGCTGCGTCATTTGTCTGGGACGTACAGCCTATGGCCTCGAAATAAATTTCGAGTGTCGCCACGAATCGTCAGACGTCCAATCTCTTCGTGCTTAGATCAAACGCTTCTGGGAGCCTCGGGCGAGCTGCTTTGAGGTTCGGCGAAGCTGGTGCCACTGCTGCGTCAAATGTCGATGTCGTCGCTGCTGCTATTGCTGCTGCTGCTGTCTCTTCTGCTGTGGCGGGTGCCTGTTGGTTCGCAAGAAGCGCCTCTATTTGCTGAAGGGCCGTCCGCGTCTGGTCCAGGTCGGTACGAATGGTGGCAATTTCTTGCATGAAGTTGTCACCTTGCCCTTCTTTTCCTGTTGACACCGTGTCCGAAACCGAATCAAAAGATACTGAAAAAAAAAAAAAAAAAAAAAACACGGAACTGGTTTTACGTACCTGAAATATGTGTTTAGCGTTCGTCGCCCCCGCAGTTTTTGAATGCCGGTTTTTCGTGGTCGAAAAAAGTCGAGTGTAAACAAGCTCTGATTACCAAATGTGAGTATCGTGGATTGAGTTCGGAAAAGTAGAATGAAATTGATTGATTCACATGGGTACAGCACGAGGCTATATATAGTCTCGATACAAGGCCATTTACCGAGGTGTTACGCGAATGTTCTGAGGGTTGTGAAGTGTCCCAAACAGAACCTTCCCGAATTCGGTAGAAGGCAATTCGGTGGCAACCGAAAGGCCTGGAATTCGGTACACGCAACTTGGTTCGGTGCTATGATTATATTAAAATATAGGAGTGCACCTAACCTAGGAATTCAAGAATATCGATGCATGATGAAATAGACCAAAGCTAGAAATAGCACTTCTAGCATAATGCTAGAAATAGCATAATGCGCCTAGCAAAGCCAGCATAAGCCGTCGCACTCTCACACAACTACTGGCAAGGTTCGTTAGTTCCCTTTTTTGGGATGAGAAGAAACAAAGTGTTACGTTGCTCATACGGCCGGACGGGTAGTAAACCATTGAAAGAAGCGTATTTGTTTTAGGAAGAGCAGGAATCAATTGATTGTGATGCCTTTTAACTGTCTTTATTGCGAACACGATCTGACGCTTGACTCATCCCAACCATCGAATTGCCAATTTATTTAATTATTTTGGATATAGCTTTTGAAGAATTCAACAATAGTTCACCACCCTCGACAACTTAGAGCATCGTAAGATCGTTCGATTGGGCATAGTTGCCCCGTTGCTTATTCCCTTAGTTAACAATTTGTAGCCAAACACCAACCAATAGCTTTTTGGCTATTGTTCTTTCATACTAATGGAAAGTGCTACCTCAGATTTAGCATTGAGGGAGGGTGGTGACTAAGGCAGACTAAGTCCAAACAAACCAGACGGGAGGAAAGTAGAGTAGACAAGTAGGGAGGCGAAAAGAGGCTATTCTCCGAAACGCAGCTAGGTACAGCAACTCTCTTCCGTGTAATATGCACAGGCTGAATATTTGGGGTGGATACATGCACGCACGCATGGCACCAGGGGGGTGGGAGGGAAGGGGTTATGCGATATGCAGCGTTGCATGCATGCATCACACATTATGAATGAAACAAAGGAGGGTGGGTGAAGGATTGGGGAACGGGGAATTCAGATCTTTACACCATGCTCTGGCCCTTTAACCTTTAAGCCCCGAGACTCTAAAACCTCGGCCAGACGAATGTATTCAACCTCAAGGCCAACCCTTTATCCTTCCAACAACTGTGCGCCCCTCATTAACCCCCCTTCCCCACCTTTGCGCCCCCCTTTATCCGCCTTCCCTTACCCGGGCATCCCCCATTATCCCCTCATCCCCCCACCTATGCGCCTTCATCCCCAATCAAACCCACCTGTGCGCTCCTTATCCTTCTCTCACCTGTGCGCCCCTTATCCTTTCCCCCTACATGTGTGTCCCTCATTCTTTCCCCCCACATCTGCGCCCCTCATCCTTTCCCCCACCTGCACGCCCCTTGGCATCTTTCCCCCACTTGTGCGCCCCTCATTGTCCCAACTTCCCCACGTGTGCCCCCCTCCTTCACATGCACACCCCTCATCCCCGTACCTGTGCACCTCTCATCATCCCTAAGACAGCATCTGCTCCCCTGTCCAATGCTGCAAATACGTCATCCATTTCCCTCTACCACACCCCCTACACGTGTGAGGGGAGAGAAAGGTGGGGTGACAAGGGGGAGACAAAGTGAGGAGAGGATAACGGTGGGGTTTGTGCAGTGTCTAATGCTCTTGCCACGTCATCCATGTCCCGATAACGCACTCCCTGCGGGAGAGGTGAGAGAAAGACAGGGTGATGGAGGGAGAAAAAGGAAGGGGAGGAGGAGACAGGGAGAGAGAAAGGGGATAAAGCTGAGGGGTGTTTTTTGCATATGCATATTGCTGCTGTTGCTGCTGCTGCACATGCAGAGGCATTTGTGCAACACAAATATCACAGCGATCTCTACCTAGAAAAGCAAGCATGCAGGTATATATATTTATAGATCACAGTACAAGCAAAGCCTACAGCAAGTGAGGAAAAGCGGGCACAAGCCCTAGCATAGTGCAAAAACGCTGATGATGACCAGACTGAAGTGCCTTGGTGAATATATCAACAGTGTTGGCCCAAGTGGCCATGTAACGCAGACGAAGTTGACAACGCTGCTGCAACTCTTGAGCCAGGAAGTAACGCAGAGCGATGTGCTTCGTTCTATGCTCCAGTCTGTGCTCCTCACACAAGGCAATGGCAGCCTTGTTGTCAACGTACAGCACTGGAGGAGAACGAGGCGGCTCTCCCAAGTTGGTCAGCAGGTAGGTGAGCCAGCGTAACTCTTGTGCAGCCATGGCTGTGGCGTAGATCTCAGCCTCACAACTGGAGCTGAGAACGGAAGACGAGCGTAAAGAACGCCAGGAAACTGAACCAGAGCCAAGGCTGAAGGTGTAACCATGTGACGACCACTGAGTAGCTTGGCCGTAAACTCAAGAAGCGTTTGAGTGCCCAGTGAGAACAACTGAGCTCCTCCCTCCAAGCACGAGCTTCATGCCTTATGTACTGCACAAGTAGCGCAGTATCCTCTTAGCAGCATCCATGTGCACCTTTCAGTGCCGACCAAGAGCCACGTAGCGAGCCAGAAGGCCAAGAGGGTACGTGAGGTCAGGACGAGTGCAAGTCATCACGTACATGAGGTTACCAACTAGCTCTAGGTAAGGACCACTCGGCTCTACAGACTCGTCCGAAGGTGGAGCTGAGAGCGAGTGACCGGTAGGCAGACGAGTTGCCTGTGCCGAGGACCAGGTGAAGCCGAAGCGCTGAAGGATCTACTGCACCATGTGTGACTGAGTCAGCCAAGGTAGCTGCGCAGTTCACCGAGGTCTGTGCACGTCTGTCTCTTCTGCAGCTCCGACTTCACCAGAGCAAAAGCCTCAGTGTCAGCAGTGGCAAAGACCAAGTCGTCGACGTACACGAGGATGTAGAACGGCGGCAGCAAAGTGTCGGAGCGCAGAAACAGCGACGGGTCAGCAGTAGAAGGCGCGAACCCAAGAGCCGCAAGTGTAGTCCTCAGTATGACGTGCCACTCACGTGGCGCCTGGCGGAGACCGTAGACTAGTGGCTCCAGCACCTCCAGGACCAGTGGCTCCACCACCTCTAGCGCCAACCCCAGGGTCAGCAGTTACACCAATTCCAGTAGGCCCAGCGCCCTCAGCTCCAGCTCCTGTAGCACCTCCAGCGCCCACAGCTCCACGACGGCGGCGATAGTACCGAGAGTACCACTCACGCAGCTGCTGGGAAGAGAGAGCGACCCCAGGCGCAGCACCCCCAGGCTCAAGACCTCCAGGCTCAGCACCCCCAGGCACAGCACCCCCAGGCTCAGCACCCGAATTCTCCGCACCACTAGGCTCAGCACCCCCAATCTCCGCACCCCAGGCTCAGCACCCCCAGTCTTAGTAGCCCCACACCCAGCACCACCAAGCTCAGCATGCTCAGTACCTTGCGCAGGACCAGAGTCGACAGCTACTTCGACAGGCTCTACAGGGTCTACCTGGGAAACACCCGAGGGAGCAGGACCCTGGGGAGGCAGGGGGTCTACCGAAGCAGCACCTGGCGTGAGGAAGAACGGCGGAGGAGGGAGCGGGGCAGTGCGGTAGGGGAAGAGACGGTAAAAGGGGACCGACTCGTCAAACGTGACGCCTTGAGAGGAGAAGACACGGCGCGAGGTGGGGTGGTAAAACCGCCAGCCAGGCGCGTCGGGGACAAAGCCCAGGAAGACACAAGGAACGACGCGGGAGGAGAGCTTGTCCGCGGACGTATCGCGGACAAAGGCACGAGATCCCCACACCCGGAACACAGACGCATCGCCAACCTCTCCCGTCCAACAGAGTGTCGGCTAGGTCTCCAGAACGGAGACACGGGGCCAGAGGTTGAGCTGCTGCGCGGCGTACCGGACCGCAAACGACCACAAAAAATGGGGGGCAGCCACATAGACCAAGGAGGTACGAGCGACCTCCATGACCAAGCCAATGCGGCGCTTAGTAACCCCAGTTTGTTGTGGAGAGGCCGGAAGCGTGAACGTCAGACGCTCAATGCCCTCCCCTTGACAGAAGGCCTCAAAGAGGCTGGAGGAAAACTCACCACCTCTCTCAGAGTGCAGTCGCAGGACGGGAAGGTCCGTGTAAAAGCGCCTCTCCAGCTGGAGACGGGTAGCGCGGATCCAAGGGATCAAGACAGCAGGGACCTCTCCCTTGGTGCGCAAGGGGAAGACCGTGGTGTAACGCGTGTAGTCGTCAACTACCAGAAGGAAGTAGCGCTCTCTGCCTTGTCCACGGACGCGGGCTGGGCCCCACACGTCCATGTGAAGGGTCTGCACAGGAGCCTCCGTGGGGGGGAACTCAGAGGAGTGAGGGGTGGCACGCTGCCGCCCCTCGACACAGGGAAGGCACGGAGGGGCAGGGGACGGTGGCAGGGGAGGCAGTGACCTGGGGAGACCAGAGACAAGGAAACGAGAGTGCATGCCATGAAGGCGCTGCATCGAAGGGTGACCAAGGCGGTGGTGCCAGAGGACCGTCCGGTGCGACAGGGTGTGACACGAGCAGGGGGCGGACAACTCACCTGACACAAACGCAGACGCAGCTACCTGAAAGGACTCAGTGGTCAGTGTTTACAAGTCCAACCCCGGCTGCCGAGTGAAGGTAGCCAGGTGACGACCCGTCTTGGCAAATGTGCAGTGTGTCACACGCTCGTAGGCAGGGGTGAACTGGTGAACACCCGCGTCCTGGAGCGCAGAACTCGCCACCAAGTTCGTATAGAACGAGGGGAGGTTAAGGCCCGATAGTGTGCCGGACGGGACAGCAGGACAAGGGAGGGCAGTGGTGGAGGTCGCAAGGACCGGACCCCCGGAGGGGTCAGCCAGGGAGACAGCAACAGGTCTAGGGAGCTGCTCTAGGGCAGAGCGGTCGCGAAAGAAACAGCGGGAAGCACCTGAGTCCAGGGTGAAGGTATCCAGTGCCTCAGTAGATGCAGTACCTGAAGGCGCAGACTGAAGCAACAGACCCTAAACCCTAAACCCTAAACCCTAAACCCTAAACCCTAAAAGGGAGAGGCAGTGTGTGCAATCTTTGTCTACAACGCCGCGCTTGTCGAACGACATTATCGATGCTCAGTGAAGTACCAAGAAGGGGCACTAAATTAGATAAGCGAACTCTTGTTTGTTTGTTTCATTTTTTACCACTTTAGCTGCCCTATTATTACTCCAATTACCTCATGCGTTTCACCTGCATCGCCTTCCCCTTTGTCCCCCCTCTCAGCCCCTTGACTCCTGGCCATATCAAACCAGACTGCTACAGTTGTTCCAGACGGATGTCGATGTGACGGCAAACTGCCTGTTTTAGCACGTATGATCTACTGTACAATCGTGCACTGGCGCTCTTTTGAATCGCGTTTACGGATATATTCGATAATAAAATGGGGATCACGAGGGCTGCCATTGGAGCTCACCATTCCTATGTTGCTCTAAGTGCGGGTGCAAACGCAGATTCTGCCGCACAGCCTGAGGCTGCAAGATCTGGTGCAGGGGAAGGTAAAGATGTAGTGGGGATTATTAGTAAGCTAGCATGTTGGCTAGCAAACACAGCTTGTCTGCTGCATCTGCTTCTGAGATAGCGAACACAGCTTGTTTGCTGCATCTGCTTTTGATATCTTTCAAGACCAATGATGTCCCATAAGAATTGGCGGCATTTAAGTAGGTATGCAAGCACAGTATGAGCATGTTTTTGCTGCCATTCATCAGGTGCCAATAGCGAAGGAGAGGAATTTCAGGGGATTGGGTGTTGGCTGTAGACTAGGTTGGGCGAGGATACAAACATCATTGTTGCACAGGGTATCTCCGGCAAGAACTAGTAGCGTACGTTAGGACGGTATACTTGTGCATTGCAAACAATCTTCGGAAGCTATATAAGTTGGTATAAATAGTTAGTACATGCACTGGTTGCCGACTTCAAGGTATGAGCTTGTATACGATTGTAAGAGTGTGTGGATGTGTGTGTGCGAGCATGTGCAATTGCATGTATGTATGTGTGTATATGTGTGTGGATATGCATGTGTGTGTATGTTGAGGAACAGAGGGGAGGAGAAGTGTGTTTTATCCGATCTTTCCATTTTCATCATCTTCCCATTTACGTTCTATGCTCACCTTCTCAGGCCAAAACTCGTTTTATGAGGAATTATTTTTTGGAAAATTGTAACTTGGCTTTGGAGCTACCGGAAGCAAGCCAAGCGACCTTTGTATTAGAAGTGGAAGCGCCCTGGGATAGCAATATCACCAAACTTTCAGAATTGCTGAAAACATTGAAGGTCAACCATGTGCCTGCCTTCCTCATTAGGAACCTCGTCCGACAAGACTTTGCACACATCAACAAGAAGCTCTTCAACCAATCTATTGTTCTGCTTGCGGATCCCGATTGCTTTCGAAATCATGCTGTCGGAGGTCCACTGGAGATCCCCGATTGATCCTAGGGAAGGGTTACAGGCACGTTGGCCTGGGGGGTTATGGGCGCACTGACCCGCTACTTAACAAGCCCTTTTATCCCAATGGTCTAGTGGTTGGGATTTTGACATGGTATCAGAGCGAAGGTCTCGGGTTCGAATCCCAGTGTGTGCACCTCAGGCATCTCAGTCCGGGGGGGTGTCAGGGGTCCACTGGAGATCCCCGATTGATCCTAGGGAAGGGTTACAGGCACGTTGGCCTGGGGGGTTATGGGCGCACTGACCCGCTACTTAACAAGCCCTTTTATCCCAATGGTCTAGTGGTTGGGATTTTGACACATGCTGCTTGCATAATTTGCTTGCAATCTATAGCTGCTTTTCAACCTCTTATTTTGTTCTCCTAAAACCATTTTAATTATCCTAGTAGGCTTACTTAGCTTCTTGCATGCCCATGCACGAGACTACTAGTTGACATTATTTCTCTCCTTTAACAACTCTCTCCGCTTACCTCTCTCTAACCAAACTTACGTGGTAAAGCCCACCTCCCCCCATCCACAGCCTCTTGTATCTCTCTTAGTTCTCCCCATCCTCTCACGCCCCTTGGTTTTGACTTGTTGACATTCTTGTTTACGGTCTTAGATGACTCTAAAAATTAAGTCTGCACTTTCTTGCTTTATACATGAGACAGCTCTACCGCTTCGATTCTAGGAATGTCAATTGCTATCCCAATGCCAGCTTGACAGAAGCAGTGCTGAAAGCCATGCATGAGAAGTGCACGGACGAGGTTCCTCACAAAGGCACCAATATCTTCTTCCTTAATACTGAGTGTAGGTGAGTGATGGTCCAGCTGTCCCTATTTCGCTGCGCTCGTGCTATAACTGCTGACCTTGCTCACAATACCGCTATCCTCAATCCTTTCCTATTGATCCTTGTGTTTGACCCTCCATTCCTCACCTTTCACAGGTCAGCATCTCATTTTCAGTAAATGACATGTACAAGGAGCAGCCCAGAATCTCCCTCAATGATTTCCTTTGGACTCACGACATTTTCCTTCTAACCCAAAATTTTGCTTAACTTTGTATTCCTTCTTAAGCTACATGCACGTTTTATCTTTTCTTGCCCACTTCACATGATTTCTCCATATTTTAACAGGAATTGTGATAATGCGCACAGTGTGATATGGCATTAGTGATAATACACTAGCTTTGTAACCATAGGTGCGATAGAAAGGTATACTCCACCATATGGATGTCAAATGGATGGTACAAGCTGACACGAAATTGAGTTGAAACTGAAAAAATATAGTAAACCAACAACATTTTAAGGAGAGATTGAGTCTATATGAATATCACATGGGCTGGCTCCGGCAGCAATGCAAGAAAACATCATTTGCTAGGGTCAACAGGAGTTTGGTGGGGTGGGGTGGCACAATTCTAAGTTGTGGAAGGGGCTGGCCGGAGAGCTCTGCTGGTGATAACGCAAAGAGTGTGGACAACAACTTTGGAGTCGATACAAAAAGACACCAAGGGTGAACCGTGAACCTTTTTTAATACAACCCCACCCCCTTTTTGGAAGAAGATCAAGGACAAGGGGGGGGACAACGGCGGGAACAAGGGCGGGGCTTCTGTAGCGTCAAACTCTGCTGCCACGTCCTCCATATCCCGGTACCACGCCCCTTGCACGTGGGGCGGAGGAAGATCAGGAACGAGGGGGAGGACAAGGGGGGGGGACAAGGGCAAGGCTTCTGCAGCGTCAAACGCTGTTTCCACATCTTCCATGTCCACGTACCCCACCCCCCAAACACGTGGGGCGGAGGAAAATTAGAGGAAGATCGAGGACAAGGGGGAGGACAAGGGGGGGGACAAGAACGGGGTTTCTGCAGCGTCGAACGCTGCTGCCACGTCCTCCATGTCCCAGTACCGCCGCCCCCATACACGTGGGGTGGAGGAAAATTGGAGGAAGACCAAGGACAAGGGGGAGGACAAGGGGGGAAATAAGGGCGGGATTTCTGCAGCGTCAAAATTGCTGCCACGTTCTCCATGTCCCCGTACCCCTGCCCGAGGACAAGGGGGGGGATAAGGGCGGGGTTTCTGCAGCATCAAACGCTGCTGCCACGTCCTCCATGTCCTCGTACCCCTGCCAACATACATGTGGGGTGGAGGAAAATTGGAAGAACACCGAGGACAAGGTGGAGGACAAGGTGGGGGACAAGTGTGGGGTTTCTGCAATGTCAAACGCTGCTGCCACGTTGTCCATCTCCTCGTACCGCGACCATAACACGTGGGGCGGAGGAAAATGGAGAAAGACCGATGACAAGGGGGGGGACAAGCGCGGGTTTCTGCAGCGTCGAACGCTGCTGCCACGTCCTCCACGTCCCCGTGCCGCGCCCCCTGCAAGTGAGGCAGAGGAAAAATGGAGGAAGACCGAGGACAGGGGGGAGGGCAAGGGGGGGACAAGCGCGGGTTTTCTGCAGCGTCAACGCTACTGTCATGTCTTCCACGTCTTCGTATCGTGCCCCGTGCACGTAGAGCGGAGGAAAATTGGACGAAGATCGAGGACAAGGGGGGGGATAAAGGGGGAGGATAAAGGGGAGGACAAGGGGAGGGTTTATGCAGCGTCTGATGCTGCTGCCACGTGCTCCATCTCCTCGTACCGTGACCCAAACATGTGGGGCGGAGGAAAATGGAGAAAGACCAATGACAAGGGGGGGGACAAGCGCGGGTTTCTGCAGCGTCGAATGCTGCTGCCACGTGCTCCAAGTCCCCGTACCGCGTCCCCTGCAAGTGGGGCAGAGAAAAAATGGAGGAAGACTGAGGACAAGGGTGGGGACAAGCGCGGGGTTTGTGCAACGTCTAGCGCAACTGCCATGTC